GTGGTTGCGTCTCGATAGCTATAAGGGTGCGGGAGATATGGGGTTGAAAGTGGTTGAAAGTGGCTTTCTATTTCGAATGTTTTGTTCGAATTTGTTCGAATTTAATTCGAACATAGAATTCGAATATTGGTTTGATTATAGAACGATTGTAAACGTTCCAGAAACGTTGAAAATAGTTCGTTTGACTAGACGTGAACAGTTGACGTTCAGAAATAGAATCGGGTCCAGGTCTCTAATTAGTCTGGAAACGGGGGACCTAATTCTTGCATTCTGTGAAAACGGGTAAGATTGCCTATAATGTAATTATCTTAATCTTCACTATCGTTACTTTTTTGCCCACAAATAAAAACCCAGCGAAGCAAGTCCTTGCAGCTAGTTTTTCATAAAAAGTGACGTTACACCATTTCTTTCCTTTGGCCGATGAATACATTAGTGTCTTGAAAAATGAGTAGGCCTATATCGAAAATATCCGATATATTAATATTTTGACAATATGTTATATTTTGGATTCCTGTTTCTGTAACTTTTGTAAAGTTTTAAAATTAGTAGGTTTATAAGACGTAAATTAAAATCTTATATATATGCGTTACATTTTAGATAAAAATGGTTGAAAACTACGTGTGGAAAATTGCTGGAATAGATGTAAATACTTTTTTTCTTTTATAAAATTGGTTATTTAAATTATATACTTTTTAAACTTATTTTATATTTTTAACAGATTCCCATGTGGATGAATTTTACAGAATCGAGAAAAGAAATAGCTCGCACTTGGTTTTTTGATATATTTAAAATTTTACAAGAACAGTTAAAATTTAGGTAAGTTTGCGATTTGTAAGATCAATACGTGAAAACCGTTTAAAGTGTTTGATAAAAAAAACAAATACATATCAATTAAAATATAAAGATAATATAGGAGAGTTTTACTAGTAAATGACAAGTTAAGCACCTTCATAAGAAAATTCCAATATACAGTCGACCTCCTATAACATTGTTGATAATTTCGTATTATATGAATTCCATGTTGTACGAGTCACTTATATCTTACAAATACGTGAGCCGTTCACAGCCCGGCACAAGTATTTGTAAAATCTAAGTGACTCGTACAACATAAAATTCATATAAAACGGAATTATCAACAGTGTTATAGGGGGGTCAACTTGTAATCACTTAAAAAACAGACATTTAACAAATAATGGTCATTGCCGGTTACCAAACATTCGCAATACTCATTCAAAGAGTGACTTTTTAATTTTCTGTATTATTGATTAAATTAAGGACATGATGTTTTTAAGATTTAAAAATTACGAGTGAATGACCTTATGGCTTTAGTAGTTGACCAGCTGACGGCTAGTGAATGACCGCTAGTGATTAATAATGAATGAATAATTAAAGTTTTAGGTTACTGTATGCAATTTTATACCGTTAAACACTACATACCGCATGTGTCAGTCATATTTTGTAATTCGGTCATGAAATATCGGATTAAAAAATTGGAATAAAAATATTAATTTTTAGCTAATGGGCTTTAATTCATATATATCATATACACAATGTTATAGAAATTGTCAGTTTAATAATCCCTGTTTATAATCCCTGTTAATAATAACATCCCTGTTTTATCTGTATTAAAAATACAAAAGGATTTTGCAGTATATCACTTGCATGTTCTTTTCTTGAACCTAATTCCTTATTATTTCTTCTGAAACTGCTGCTGCAGCTTTAGATATCACTTTTGTATTCTTGTTGCTACATTAGTATTCCTTTTAAAAAGTTTCAGCCATTTTTTTGGGCGATCATCATTAAATGGGTTCTTTTGTTCCATATCTTTCATAACTTTCGGACGGCATCTTTTACTTCATCGGAATGAATAGGAAAATCCAATATGGCTTTTCCAATAATCAAATTTTTCAACCAGTCTTCCTCTGCTTTAGTTGTGAGACCTATTTTTCACTTTTTGGTACTTTTCCATGTAATTTATTTCTTAATTTTCTTTTTGCGATGTTAAATTCTTTTCTATCCTTATTAACACTCATTTTATTTTCACGTACTACTGCTACAGCTGCATACAAACCTTTTTCACTATTTTGAAAATGTCTGTTAGCTTTCTTTTTTCTATTTATTTCATCTGCCATTTTGAATTTATATGAATGAAATCAAATTCAAATGTCTTTAATTGTTCATTTCAAGCCATTTTAATATGCAACAATGAATGAGCACATAACTTTGAACCATGGTCACTTACTGCTACAAGTTTGATATTTTGGTCATTCACCCATACATTACTATGAAACAACATTCACAGATTTTGAATTATGTGCTCATAAATCAAAATAACGCATATTCCTTTATCACTATTAAATGACCGAAGTGTTTCTTCACTGAAAAAGAATCATTTTTCAAATCCAGTGAATATAGTGCCCCCATTATCTACAGACCTTTAATGCTCACAATTAATTTTTGAACTAAAACAATACTTTAAATATCTACAAAACCCTTTCTTTAGTCAATGCTTATTATAATCAATGAATAATTATTTTAAATGTTGCTATATGAATCTTTGTTACATTTCTTATCTTATTATAATGCAAACAGGATTACACCTTACACACACATCTCAAGAAAGCTGCCATATTTTAAACACTATCACGCGTTCCTGAATGACCAATGAAAGAAAATACTTCGAAATGTAGTTGATTTTCAGTAATTCAGCCTTCTGATTACTTTTTCTTGCCGTGGCGCTAATTTAATACAAATTTCTTGCAATATGGACATTCGCTAGAGCCGGTCATTCACTGGTGAAACTACCCTAAATGACTTTTGCATATTAATAAAATTGATTTTATGTATCAATAGCTACGAAGTTGTTCATCCAATACCTTTAGGATATGGAAGAAGAAAAGCAAATGGCTCCTATTCTGGAATGATTGGCCAAATTGTGAATAAGGTAATTTTCTTTCTCGAAATTCAAGATGGAATTAATTCATAAAAAGTGATTTGTGAGAAAATATTAAGATTTATAAAATGATACTCAAATCAAATTTATCTATTTCATTATCAAAAGAACTTTATAAGAATAATTTTAATAAATTAAAAAGTCGCTTTTGTTGGTGATATTTCTAGTAGTTCTCAGGTCACCATCATATATAGAGGATTTGATCCCGAGATCTCGAAAATCGGGATCCCGGGATCCCGACCACTTTTCAGTCCCAAAATTTTCGGGATTAAGTTTTCCTAATCCCGAGATTTTCGGGATTGACATCATTTTAAAAAAAGTTGCAAAATAGACTGCATGAAGCGAAACGTTCAGTGCTTTTAACAGAATTGCTTGCCTATCATTTTAATATAAAATACAAGAAATTTTATTCCAAGCAAGCAGCAGAAATTAACCTAGCGGGCTTGCGATGCTTGCTTGGAATAAAACTTCTTGTATTTTCAACTAAAATGATAGGCAAGCAGTTCTCACTGGGTTACTTGGTAATATACTTCATTTTTGTATTTTTGAATTTTCGCGGGCGCCAATCGATTTTCTGGCGCAGTCGAGAGCACTACTCAGTGCGTTTTACCTGTCAATGTGTCAGCCATCTTGTTTTGCCAGTGTGGTTAATATAGACCCGACGCCTCTCGCTTAGGGGGGTCGACCTTAGGTGAAAAGGTTACGACCCCCGCCTTGCCCGTGATCTGTCAGGATGATGCGAGAAAGTCTTTTTACGTTTGGGAGTAGTGGTTTGCTGGATGCTGAGAGACTCACACAGAGACCGAATTTACAAAATTAACGTGTTTATTTTTAGAAAGGCATGCTTACAATGATCGAAACAATCGGGATTGTAGCCTTTACTCCTACAATCCCGATCTGTGTCGACCGGACTGTTTTCTTCCAACCTCCCCGTGTCCTCGAAGCTATAACTAGAACGGGCTTATAAGTATTTACTAACGATTCCTCCAACTTCCATCAAACCTAAACGCGTTTTCTCAGCAGCTGCATATATGTGCAACAAATTGAGAAGCAGACTTGGTGATGAGACACAGGATGCGTTGTTATTTCTCAGATCATATTTTCGCAATTCAAATTAGAATGTTCCTATTAGATTAGTTTTCTTTATATTTAAGAAAAATGTGACTGATTAATATTATTTTTAAATACTTTTTGCTAAGAAACTTACTTTACTACCTACTTACTAGGTTGTTATATGAAAGTAGTCTATTTAGTCGATGTTAAGAGAGATTTTTGTTAATTTTCAACGTTTATTTGCATAGTTTGTTACATAAAGGTTTTTTCAATTTATGTGAGTTTAAAGAGATCTCAGTGATGCTTAAAAAAGAATAAATTTAACATGAAGACAGTGATTTTAAGTCTGGTTAGTCTGACTGTAAGTCTGATTAATTAGAGTGATTAAATTAACTAGGTGTATACCGTAAAATACGTTGATTTTTGTCTAAATTTTGATTTTTGATTTCTGTAAGATTTTCTTATTTTTTATTAACCCTCAATACCGAAATAATCCCGGGATCCCGGGATTGAATAAGTATAATCCCGAAATCCCGGGATTAGAAATAAAGACCGGGATCGAATACCCTAATCATATACATCACTGCAATGTATTTAGACACACCCATGATTATATTCCGCATTTCTTCATGATTATAAAATATCGATTGGATGGGGCGAACGCTAGGTATCGAAGTGGGGCAACGCCAAAAACCTTTCTAAAAGACATTGTCATCGGATTACGATGGAAGAATTTTAGTTCAGAAGTGCAAATCAGTACAGTAATGTTGTCAATTGTTAAGAATTCGGCCACATATTTTAACGACTTCTGTAATGTTTCGAGTGATTTGTGTTTTTAAAGTTAAATGTCTGATTTTTCGAAGAAAATTAGATATGATATTATAAAATTCACTCCTTGAAACACTAATTTTTGAATTTTAAAGGAATCCTTTCCTTGAATACAATAAAACGACCACTTTATCAGTTGAAACAATTCTAACTGAAAAGAAAGTAATTGTGAATAGAAACATAAATACGTTTGATAAAAATTGCCGAGAGAAATAAATTTAGTAATAAAAATAAGAAAAATTCTTAAAAATAGATAACACATGTAGCCTCAAATGAAAGGTCGACTCCATTATGGAACTGTTAATTTTTTCGTGTGCGTGCAAAACGACAAAAGTTAAAAGACGCTTTTATGTATTGTCTATTTTTAAAAAATTTTCTTAAATTTATTAATTAGAAACATAAGACGATTTATTGGTCTTCAAGATGAGATGCCACAGAGTCTATTACTATAGCTAAAAAAATGAATAAACTTTTCCTATCCTGATCTTGAGGGAGAATATCGTTCTGTGAAATTTAATATAAACCAAATGCCAATTGGTTTAAACTTAAAAGAATTTCTAGCTAGTTTAAAATTCTGACTTTACAGCAAAAATTTTGAACAGTTTGAGTAGGCATACATTTGTAAATAGAATAGTTAGGAATTTAAATGCACATCGTTGGCCTTTTTCCTTTGAAATAAAGCATCTAATAAATTTCTAACATTTGATGAAGATAAATTTGTAACATGAAGCAGATAAATATCTATTCCTAAATTGCATCGTTGATGTTGCATATTCAGAAAGGAAACTGCAGCTTTAATTGGTTTCACTTTCACTTTTCGTTGCAACTTATGCATCCCTGAATTCTGCAATTGAAAACAAAATTCGAAGTGCCGCATTAGGAAAACATGGATTCGAATTTTTTAATTGAAAACCTGACCCACTGTAGTAAATTTTTACTTGTTTTCTGCTTTCTAGAAGCTTCATATTTACTTTTACTCTTTCGTCCTGCAGGATTTTTTTTCTACTTTATACTGAAAACTTCTATCTTTTTTTTGTCTGGTCTGATTATCCTAAAACTTTAGATGGTATTTATTCATTTACACCAAATAAGATCATCCTTTCAATGCAGTTAGTATATCTTTGTTATATTAACTTGAATCATTGCTAACTTTGAAGATTGGCGTACGTCGATTATTTTCTGAATGAAAATAGGTACGCAGAATTGCTGTTAGGTACGCAAAAATGTGATATTCAAAAGTAAGTAACATTTTTTCTGTGGACTCGGTGTTTAGAAGCAAAATGAATACCGAAGGATCACATTCTACTTCTAGTTGTTTTTTTTCACAATTATAGATATTAGAAGAGTTTTTCTTTTTAATTCTTTTAGCTAAAAACTGATCAAAGTTTCCAAAACTAATATTTTTACCAATGTACGAGAACTATTTAAAAAAGCTCACTTTTACTAACGTGTAAACCCTCACCAAGCAATGCTTACATAGTAATCTATTTCTCACTTTCAATTTTAATCAAAACTGTAGAAAAATTGTTTTTTTTTTTTAATATATTGTAATGCTTTTTCTGAGGTTGTAAGTATATGAAAAGCTCCAATTAGAACCTTTCGTTACCAAACGTTCGATATTGTAGTTAAACACATAACACTTTTATGATGTAAATTACACAATTCTAAACAAATTTTTTTTCAAATTGTTGTCCCATTTCTACTATTTTTTTTCTTATAGCTAGAGCATAAGATTCTTACAAAAATAACGAATATTAATTATTATATTCATGTGATACTTAATTTTTAAGATGTTGCTGATGTTTTATTCGTAACATGTCATGGTTTCGCAGACATATATGTGTAAAGCGTGTCTTTGCTACGGCGTTTAATTAATGCAGTTTAACCAATTCAAGCAAATTCTGTTTATATTTTCCTGATTCTTCAATATCTTGGTTGCTTGGATATTGTTAGACGCCACCATTTAAACTTCATATTATTTTTTAATGTTTTAAGTTCTGTTTTTCGTAGCTTTTTTACAAACACATAAGATTTTCTTCTTTTGTGTGCCAGACAACGAAGGCAAAAATAATGGCAGAACCAACAAATTTAAATGGATCATTTCACGAAGGAACGTTCGATCAGATATAACTTAAACATGTAAATTGAAAACATAACACAGAAAATAAGTATCAAACAAAATAAATAACTATATAATAACACTACTAATTAAAATATATATCAATAGTGTTTTTAATTAATAACACTTCAAGTATTTTCAATCATCAATAACTTCATAAGAGAATAGTTTTTATGATAATTCCATAGTCATCTGTCATTTATAGATTTAGCCTGCAGATTATTTTTGGCCCCCAGAAAATAAGTGAAAAGAATTGGTTAAGATCAATTACAGGGTTCAGGAGTTAAATAGAATATTTAATAATGTGAATATAAAAATGTTAACGTAAAATATTTAATAATACTTTTTGCGATGAAAACATCATAAGAGAAAATAAGTAAAATTGTTTTTAAAAAACTAAAAGTTTACTAATTTCATAATTTCAAAACATTCTTTCTTATTTATTTGTTTAAAGATAATACATTAAAAAGGCTGAATAACTACATAATATTTAGGTCGCCGATATTACTGGTGTTCCTACATATCTTCTAAGCCACCTCCCAGTGGATTACACACCATTCATACGGGTAGTTCCGATGAAATTTATTGTTGCAGAAACAAAACGGAAAGCTGATTGGAAAAGTATTACTCGACCTTTTTCTCTTCAGGTATGTTTTCCAGGTGTAATTGAAAATTCTGCTTAATATTCACGAATATCAATCGGAAATTCTATTGTTTCATATAGAAATCATGTAATATTTTATTACAATAAATATGAATTCTTTAGCTTATGCGAACTTTTGACAAATTTTATAAAAAAAACTTTCAGTAAAACAGAAGTGTCGATTTTATAAAATGAGGAAGTTTAAGTAAAAACATGTAACTTTATTCATGCTTAGGTTTTCACATTCCGAGATATCACACTGAAGATAATTAAATGATTTGAGGAAATTGTCAAAATTACTCATTTCAAATTGGAATTTTGATTGCTTTCAGTATCTGCTAATTAATAGTAACTTCTTACTTTCACATTCTATTTAGTTTTTCTATAAATTTTGGCAAGTGATAATTATGAGTTTAAAGAATAAATATACAGTTTTTTGGCAATATTTCAAACATACCATTGTTGATTGTGAAATTATAATTGAAAATCCAGACACAGATCTGAAAAAATTTCTTGGATCAGTGAGATTTATGCAGATATCTGCATGAAAATGACCAAAGCTTCCTTTGTCTTCTATTTGATATAACTAATTCAAATAACCTATTTTACTTTTTCATGGATATAAGTGTATCTGTTACTGCAAAAGCCCGTATATTCGTAAATCCTAGGTTTTACTCGTAAATCTTCAGATTTACCAACATGAGTTGGTAAATGTAAGGATTTTTATAAAGTGAGATGATTCTCCGGGCTTTTACCATTAGAGTTTGGAACATGCTAGGTTTTACTAAAGACGATTAGTAAATGTTGGTTTTGGAAATAAAACTGTGAGTATTTTAATAATCATTTATTGCAATTATTATAAACAGTCAATTACTAAGTCTTATTTATTAATAACTAGTGAAACAGTTTAAAAATAATTTTTTAACATAACAAAAAATTAAATTATCTTGTCAAAAATAATATAATAGCTTACGTTGGCTAAGCTAATCAGTAATCACAGCATTTTTTCTAATCATTTGGTATTCATTGTCGTTTAATAAAAGTAAAAAAAGGATTTTACTTGTTACAAAATGGAGAACTATCATGGCATTTAGAATTACATAGTAATCCTGATGACTTGCAAGCGCACTTTTTCGTTACGCAATTTTAGGTAGTTGCATTTCTTGAAAGCTTCTCCTCCGGTCAAAGACAATTTTGCGACAACTTCTCGAAGACTCGCTTCTTTATCTTTAACAACTTCTTCTATCTTGATAAAGTCTTCGGGTCATGAGGTAAATTGATTTTGTGTATAAAGCTGCTTTAGTTCTCCAATTTTGGTACCTAGTTGGTAAAATTTGTTGTCCTTTACATCTATTACAACTGCAATAACGCTGTTCGGGTCAGTTTTAGTTTTGTCAATTTTGGGCACTTTCAGTCTTACATTTTGGCCAATTTTCACATTTGGATATTTATCCACAGACATAGCTTTCATTTTTTCAACTCGTTTCTCCAAACTCAATTTTGCGTTGTTTCTTATTGTCACTACAGATTCTAACTTTTTTTGGTATTGGCTCTATTGTTATAAGAACTTCCTGAGACTCAATCGTGTTTTCTGTCTCTGAATCGTTACATTGGAATCATCGGTTCTTTGCTTCGCCTTCATCTTCTCAGTAATAATCATTTCATCTTGTGTTTTATCGTTGACAGTACTATTGTCTATATCCCCTTCTGACTCATTTTTAACAATGCTTTCTTCCTTGTCCTGTTCGATTACATTTTCGATGTCATTATTTTGTTCCGTATTGTCATGCGAATGCAACAACTTCTCTAAATCTTCTTCAGATCTTATAACTTTAATCATATCACTAGGGATTGCTGAAGTTACAAGGCTTATTTTTATTGGACAGCCAAACATTACTTCGTAGGGAGAACATTTAATTCCCTCGTGATATGCTCTATTTTTTACCGCCTGGATGAATCTTAAACCCTTTGACTACTTTGATAACTGGTTTCCATCCACATGCTCAACATATTTTCTATGTCTTGATTAGCACGCTCCATTGATCCTTGACTTTGGCTATGTCTTGCCTTTCTACGTACGATTTTTACATCCGGCCATATGGAGCATAAACTCTCAATAACTTGGTTAGAGAATTCTCGACCATTATCGGAATGAAGGATGCTCCAAAAGTAATGAAAATATTTAAAAGATGGTGTGCAACTTCTACGGCGCGTTTAGTTTGAAGCGCACGAAGCATCACATATTTGGTAAGATGGTCTTGGTAAACTAAAATAAATTTAGAATTTTTATCTGGGGTAGTTTGTAGATCTATTAGATCAACCTGACAGCGTGAGTTCATTTCACTGTGAAGTATAGGTCTGACGACAATGCCCTTTTTCAAAGTCTTCTGTTTCTTTTGGCAAGGTTGGCATAGCTTCAAATATGTCATAGTAGCCTCAACTGTTACATTTTTACACTTGCAGTTACATTCCTTAAGCATCCGTGTCTTTCCACCGTGGCCAAGAGCAACATGCGTTTCTTCTAGAATGTTGAATAAGTCCTCGTAACAAATGCAATACCTTATTTATCCATTTTTGTCCTTCATAGGCGCAATTAGTTTTTCTTTGTCGCCTATAGTCGAAATTTCGTAACGATTTATACGCCTGTAATGAACAGCTTGTTTCATTTTCATGTTCTTTGCAGCTTTTACTTCCTCCAAACATTTTACGTATTTGTCCCTATTGAGATAAATGTTATTATCTTTCTTGCTTGCAACGAGCTCGTCCGTTATTTAATAAAATCTCCGTTTCACACTAATCTTGATTCGTAAATAACTTTTTGACAGAGAAATCTCAAACAAGATTAGAATTAACGTGCGCGTTTTAACGTTCTCAAACGATGGAATGCGACGAGCGAAAACGGCGGCGCGGTGGGGTGCGGGAAGCGGGGATTATTTTTTCAACATTTACCATGTCTATGAGGTAAAACCTAAGATATACCAAGTAAATGCTGATAAAAGTTCGAAATTAACGATTTTCATAGAACATTTCGGACTTTTACCACAAAGATTTGGTAAATCTTAGGTTTTACTGGAAAATCTTAGGATTTACCATAGTTCGAGCATTTACAGTCACATATCGCTTAAACAGATTAATACGAGGATTTCTAAATCAATTATTAAATTCAATTTCTTCTGTATATTATTACATTTGGGATTTTATGCAGATGAAGTGGTAATTGTGTTAACTGGTTTTATTCATGTAATTTCTAGATACGTAACTACTAATTGCTCAATAACAAATTTACTTTTTTCGAGTAGATCGTTTTTACTGTAAGCTAGGTAAGGGATATTTCTGTTATGCAATATCTTTCGATAAACACTTCCGTTGAAATTTTAAAATACTATTGTCTGAGAGACAACGTATCGTAATCCAAATTAATTCGTTAAAATATTGACCAAACTTGTTTTCAAAAATGTCTCACCTGATTGAGGTAAATATGCCAAGCATTACTCAATAAAGGGATACATTGGAAGCTCAGTGAGCTAAGTTATATTTAACATATTAATAAGAAATTTGATAAAGGCATCCTTAAGTTCTTACAAAGAAATAATCAATTATTGGCTGTGGTATTGCAGATAAAATCACACTCATCTGAAAAGCAGTAACTTGTCTTTATTTTTTGAAGAGATTGAATTGTAAATTAATCATAATGTATCAGGTTAAATTACAGTCGACCCCCCTATAACGTGCGTTCCTATAACTACAATTCCTATAACGTAGCGAAAAAATTGTAGCAACATTCGTATAAAGCATCTCCTAAAACATCTTCGCCGACTCGTTTCGCGACAAGATTGATAGAGTCTGGACCAATAGTGAATGAGCAGGCTAGGTTTTACTAAAGACGATTAGTAAATGTTGGTTTTGGAAATAAAACTGTGAGTATTTTAATAATCATTTATTGCAACTATTATAAACAGTCAACTTACTAAGTCTTATTTATTAATAACTAGTGAAACAGTTTAAAAATAATTTTTTAACATAACAAAAAATTAAATTATCTTGTCAAAAATAATATAATAGCTTACGTTGGCTAAGCTAATCAGTAATCACAGCATTTTTTCTAATCATTTGGTATTCATTGTCGTTTAATAAAAGTAAAAAAAGGATTTTACTTGTTACAAAATGGAGAACTATCATGGCATTTAGAATTACATAGTAATCCTGATGACTTGCAAGCGCACTTTTTCGTTACGCAATTTTAGGTAGTTGCATTTCTTGAAAGCTTCTCCTCCGGTCAAAGACAATTTTGCGACAACTTCTCGAAGACTCGCTTCTTTATCTTTAACAACTTCTTCTATCTTGATAAAGTCTTCGGGTCATGNATAGCATAGTTTATACAGATTATTCCCAAAAAATTATACGTGTTTTGGAAATGCTGAGTGGAATTAGTCTAGAATCGGTTAATTTTATATAAGAAAACCTTTCAAACAGCCTTTGTCCATAAAGTTCACACCTATCGGGCTGCGATTGGCTCATGTATTTAATAATTCCTACAACGTAAAATTCGATTAGCGTGGAACGTATCTAAGCGTTATAGGGGGGTCTACTGTATATAAATCAGATACACAGAAAACAAAATGTCCATCACGGAAAACTGTAAAATATTGTCGATAATGTTAACAATTACAATATATATTAGAAATAAAAAGAAGATATAATTCAATTCTAGAATAGTGTAAGATGTCAAACAAAATACATTAATTCGTAAAAACAATTTTATGTAAAAGTCATGCTCATCATTCAAATAATTCAAGAAATATTTTACCAAACACTTTACGTACTCACTATTACTTACTTCGAACTCATTACATAAATTACATGTTTATTTATATTGTCTGTAACGCATGAAATTATGATGAAAATATCTGAAACAAATATACTGTAAGTTTGATTTGTTTAATATACTGCGATAAAATTAATGATAATTCATTATTTACACAAATAAAAATTTATTTATATTAATATATTAGCTTTGGATTGCCTTGGGTGTTTCGATAATGCTACTTGGAATCATCCTACCGAAAATAATTAACTATAGACAAAAGAGATGCAATGGTTTGTGGACAATACAGATAGCTATGTTGTTCCTAATTTCATCATGTTCCATGAAAGGTGGGTATTTAAAGATTCCAAGTATTCTTTTGTGATTACACATATTCTTGCATTAACATTTCTTATAACAATTTACAGGAACTAATTTAAGCAATGTAAATAATTACTCTTCAAGATTATCGATTGGAGTGTGTTTATTATCAATCTCTGTATTAAGATTTGGCTATTCTGGAACTTTAATTTCTTTTTTGACTGCACCTTCTTATGAACCTGTTCCACAAACCATAAATGAATTAGCCACTGCCGTCAAACTCGGAGAATATTCTTGTGGCACATATTCACGGGGAACAATAACAAAGTTACGAGTTAAGTTAATACATAAATTAAATATCTAAACTTTATTTTTGAAATTTTACGATGTTAATTAAAATACTATTTATATATTGGTCTGAATATTTTACATGGTTAGAAACGCGTCTGTAAAATACGAAATTTAGGAATAATTTTTATTGAACATATTATGCACATTTATATGAAATGTTTTCAATTGTAAAATAAAAATTTTACGGCTGAAAGTTCAAAGAAAATATTCTAATCGTTTCAATATAGAAATACGTGTTTGTATTTCTAATCCTTAACGTGCCATAATATCAAAATTTCCTATTCACAAAATAAATTAAAATTTTATATTTTTTATCATTATGTCTTTCCAATTTGATCGCTTGACTTCATCAGCGCATTTTGTAAATAAAATTTAATATTATACCATTTTAAATTTATCGTCAAAATGAGGTAATTAAATTTATTCTGTTACTATTTTTTACTATTTTAAAATAAGTATAAATCTTCTAGTGACATTTATTCCACCATTAACTTTAAGGTTTAAATCATTTATTCTCTGTCAACAATTTGCGATTACAAACGAGAAACTTTTCCAATATCAAATTTCGATATAACGAATTTGTTAGTTTTTAGAATTTTAATCTGATCTTTTATAACTTTTTACTGTAGCTTAGCAAATATTTCGGTTCATATATTACTTTCGTCTGGGATTAAAAATTAAATTTGGAATATTCTTTAACGATTCATTATTTAAAATGAGAATTAAAGCTACATACTGCATATAGAAAACATATTAATATCTATATAAGTGTTCAATAAATAAAACCTCTTACTCTAATGTAATTATAATTATATATTATTATAACATTAAGAATAGAAATTACAATTAATTTCATCATATATTTTATTTCAGAAACAAAATTCGAAGGATATTAATACGTTATCGAACTACATAGAAAAAAATCCGGGTAGTTTACTAGTAGACCTGTCAGTCATAGCTAGCAAAATAAAAAATGAACGTTTTGCATTTATTACAACAGAGGGAATTGCGAAGGGAAGAATAATGCCGAAAATTCAAGGCAAATCTTCACTGAATGAAGATAATTTTTATATAGTTCTTTTTTCATATTTGCTTAGAAAAGATTTTCCATACAAAAGATCTGTCGAGAAAATGTAAAAACATAAAATTATTTTTAATTCTTGTTTGTACAATTGTGTAACAGATATGTTCTGATTTTGTTGTATGTTCTTCCTTATAGCATAACTCGTTTACTTGAAGTTGGAATTGTTCAACATATAACGGAAAAAGAGTTTTTTACTCTGCGACAAGAGGAAAAGGATGAAGTTCATCCATTAAAGTTCGAAGAACTTGCAGGATGTTTCGTTGTTCTCGTTATTGGATATGTATTATCTCTTCTTTGTTTTATTGGTGAATTGACAATTGCATTTTTCTCTAAACCAAAAAGAAATTTTTAATTAATGACGATTTATAATCTGTAGATTTATCTTACTCTGGAGATTTTAGTATTTAGATTTTATATTTAGTGCACAGTTTCATAAAATAACATTTTGCTTCGTACTGGGAAGTACTGATTTATGTCTTATTTTCACATTGACTGCTTTTATTTTATGAAAGCATTTCTCTTTGCTATGGGAAAGTAGGAAAAGTAGAAAAGTCAAGTCAATTAAATATAACAAATTAAATTTTCTCTTTATGCATTTTAATAAATAAAATTTATATTTTTTTTATGGAATTCTGATCGAAATCTTCGAATTGGATGCATTAAATCTTTTCAAAATTTATCTCCTAAACAGTCTTTTACATTTATCAAACTCATTAAAATATCACGTGGATCACATAAACCTTCGCTGCATTGAATGTAAAAAAGAGTGAGCAATTTTTCTGTCTGTGATAATATGAAATTGTAAACATGTAATTATATATATATATATATATATATATATAATATATAGATTAAACATCTTTGCACAAAAGAAAAAATTGATCGAAAATGGAAACTTTTGTTGTCCATGATTGGTTGTTCAAACAAGGCAGTGCGATATCGCCTTAAACAAACCAAAAAGACGGTCCAAAATCGAAATTTTTAGTGAAAAACAAAAAGAAGTTTCAATTAGAGAACGTGAATTGCTTGGTACACGTGTTATGTATGGGCTGTCTATAAACGATGTCACGCATCATGTGGGGGTAGCAGTATTGGAATTACACTTTCCGGGCAAGGGAAGTTCAACTTTTTCACGGGCGCTTGTAATAAACTCTATTTAAAATAAAATAGTTAAAGCTAGATTTATAAATTGTTTAAAAACAATTTATAAATCTAAAAAATTATTTAATGTTTTCACAAGACTGACAATTTTTGAATAGGTCAAGCTTCCGGTCAGTTGCCTAAACGATTTCCTGGGCCATGTTCAGTAACGCAGAATTCTTGCTAAGTCTAGTTATGATGCAATGTTGAACTCGTTTCTAACTACTGCTTGACTCCTCCCACCACTAGCTTCTTTTATGTATTCTTAGCTCCGCCCACTAAGCCACACAGAATTCTAACTTAGGTGTTCTGCGTAACTGAACACAGCCCAGGTCTTACCTGTGTGCAGGGGGCGGCCCTATGGCGACGACAGCAACAGGCACCGTCATAGGGGGTGCAGAAAATGCAACGATAGATGGTCTGCGCAAAAAATAAAACCCAATCACCTTATTACTACTTAACCCTACTTCCGCCAAAATAAATTCTATACAACAGTGAGCTGAGTTGTAGGTATACACATATAGCGTGAAATTCGCACTTAGTGTTGTAGACTGTTAACCTTTGCAAACAAATATTGTTTCTCATCCATACTACTACTATGCTAATCTTTTGGAGGTCTGAGTTATTAATAATGTAAAAAATGTATGTTATCTTTAGTATCTATGTACAGTTTAGCCTCTACGGGGGGAGCCACAATGAGATCTCGCACCACCTGAAAACCTTGCTAGGACTTCCCCTGGCTGTGTGCTTTGACATATGGTATTGCTATCCATTTTTTAAGTTTTGGCCTATTTAATGGTATGAATGTGCTTGAGTCAACATTTTCAATAAGTAATCGATTTCTCACTTTTGTGAAAACTTTTTTATGAAAACTGTGTTCACTGACAATGTTTGAATATCAGTTTTTAGCTTTTGTAGCATCTTCTCACATAATTTGGTGAAGACAAACGACGAGAAGAATATCGTTCAAATTTAATATGGTTGTTTAGAATAAAATTGTGTTACAATCATGAGTTATNGAATGGAGACTTGGGGCTACCACCACATACAAACACCATTCACGTGCGATGTGTAGTTTTGGCGAAAAAGTGAAATATAGGGACATACATGTCCATTTTTATATATAGATATAGATATACAGTAGATATAGATATAGATATAGATATAGATTATGGTTATTAATTTAAATTTTAGTTAACCCTAAATAACTAATCATTCGTCCACACGACAACGCATCTCTGCTCGAAAGCGAAATTCAGTAACTTTCTCGCGCTTCCTGCCCATCATTCTTTTTCTATCTTAATGCTCTGTCTGCAAGGTAATCCATTTCATGGTTAAATTTTACAATCGAGACTCTTCTTTGATTTTTAAAAACGCATATTTTTACAAAGTTGAATAAAAATGTGAAAAATTACAGAAAGCGATAAATAAAAAATATACAAGAGCATAAATTAGTACAAAAACTAACAAAATTATTTAAAAAATTGCAATGGTAACTTTTATATATTGCATTTACGATTAAAAAATTATCAGAAATCATGAAAACTATAACGAAAATATGTAATGAACTAAACATATTTGTGATATCACAGAAACAAGCGAAAAAATTAAAGAAACAGACAGAAAAAGGAACATTTACCTCAGTACTAAACATAACATACATTTATCTAAGCAGTATGTTTATTTAAAAATGAAATGCAAAAAAATATTACTAGGCAAAATAAAAACAAGAAAACAATCGCAAAAACTGCACATGACTAAGATGTATAGTTTTCAATAAAAATTGACATCATACCGTTAACTCTCTGCAGGAGGAGCATAAAGGAGTTAATAAACTTTTCACAATATTTTGATTGGAATAAAGTTGCTAAATTTCAAATTCTTTTAGATAATTTTATTATTCAATACATACATAAGTTTGATATAAAATTTTTTTAAATATCAACTATTAAAAACTTTACGTGTATTAAAAGTTTATCTAAACTAAAATTTTGTTTTTCATTACCAATTATTTGATCAGCAATTTATTGACGACCTCCAAAATCGACTTTCTTAGTGTTATATTTTAAAATATCAGAAATTAGACAGGGAATATATTGTCAACAATCACCAAAATTTCTACTTTACACTTACTTGCATAAATGTGTAATGTTATAGATAAAGTGAATGAAAAAAATCGGAAAAGCTTCCCTTAATAAAATAAACTTATTTATATCTATTAATGTAAAAATAAAAAAAATTCAAAAATAATTTCGTTCTGGTTTTATATTATTTCATACCATTGTAAGTGTTATAATTTTTCTCAAATATTAAAACATTTAATAATTAATACACAAACTTTGCCTTATTGTTAAAATAAAATTAATTAATTTAATTGTGATTAGAAAATTAATTTTATTAACATTTGTGATTACTATGGCCAAAGAAATTTCGTTTGGATGTTATATTATTTCAAATTGTCATGTTTTAATTTACTCAACAAATTTTTATTTTAAAAAATTATTACTAGAAATTAGTACAACTTAATTTTATAGTAATATATTTAGTAATTAAACGAAATATATTAAACTTATTTTAATTAATAAGTTAAATAATTAAAATAAAATTAATTTAATTAAAATTTGTGATCAGTATTGCCCAAACCACTACTATTCATGATAACTGAACACTTGGCATGTTTAACAATTTGATATTTATTAAAGTTTTAGACAGTTCAAATTTGGAAAAATTGCTTTCTCGTATTTTATGTACTGACTTACGTAACTTACAAATCTAAAACAATGACAAATTATTGACTCAATTAATAGAAAACTTTTTAAATATTCATTTAATAATTGTTTTATTTAAAACATTGTTTACGTTAACATTTAACTTAGTACAATGAGCAATATTTACGATAGAACAAATAATTCATAATTACATTTATTATTTAATTTACAATGACAACAGGTTCCAACGGTTTATAAACTGTTGTCTTACAGTAATCAATTGTTTTACTTGGTAAATTTAGTCTTTTACAATAGTGAATAATATTTTCAAATAAATTATTAAGATAGACATAAGTTTGAAATTCTACATATAACATTTGTATCTGGGCAAAAGAGTAATATAAACAGAACAAATATTTATTTTAAATACATTATCATGATAATTTTAATTATCTTGTCTTGTATCGGATTGTTGAACAGAGGCTTCTACGCTATATTGCCGAGTAGTAAAGTGTGACGAAATTGTCATGTGATATAGTTTACAGTCGTATGTGTTTGTGATGGTCATTAAGCAAGGACTAATGCCTTCCGGGAGGTCTTTTAAGGGTAACTGGCCCCTATTCAGGCGTTACAGACGTGGAGAAAACCCGGAAAACTCCACGTGGCCAGCCCGTTCGGGCGAAGTGCAAATCCAAGACCGAACTCCCAGTGTTCGCAGAACGAAACCGCTTGGCCACTGGTGGGCCAACTTCAAATGTACTTAGGAACAATTTAACATTGGAGTTTCATTTAGATAATCTACAACTGGTGAAGATAAAGTGATAACCGAAATTATTTTTAAACATATCAGTAAGGATAATGGTGAATAAATTCGAATTTAGATTTATTTTTAATGCGAATTTAGAAAGTTATTGTTGCCACAAACTATATAAAATGTTTTATATTTAGCGAGAAGCTTAAATATATGGTTGTAATTGAGATTATATCGGAAAAATAACATATTTTCGATAATGAATTTTAATATGATGCGCTACAATCGTATAGAAATACTGGAGTTACAATTAAAGTAACACTTATGTTATTTCGAAAAAACTAATGCAATTCATAAAATTGTTTGTGGCAAAATAAATTTACTTCGAAGTTTTCATTACCCCTATTATTATAATAAAGGCAATGAAATTTACAGTTTTACTTTAATACAATAAACATAAGAAGTCTACAAAAGGAGGTTAGACAAATATATTTAAAAGTGATAGATAATAGAATTGAATTTAATTATGAGATTTTTAAAGTTATTTAATTTCACTTTTAAATCGTTTTATATGTCTGACATTTACCTTCTGATTTCAAGAAAACGTCAATTGTAATTTTTAAAACTATGCAGATGTCGAAAATCCGTATTGATAACGTATCGCTCATCCCTTCTTTTGTGAACATTTTAACTTGTTTGCTATTCATCGCAATAATCTGAACATATTTTAAAAAGAGTGTTGATGTTTCATATAAGCAAATGTTTAAAACCTCGATAATTCCTATCTGAATTTCACAAGTGTTCAGAGACATTGCTATTGTTTTACATAAGGATTTCAATAGTGTAACCGTTCCGCAAGAACTGCACTATTCTATGGCCAGTAAATTTATTACATTGGTCTTCGATAGTTATACTGCTGTAGTTCACATGGATTTCCTCGTGATAGAATGACTATGAATAGAAATTACTATGGCATCATGTATAGCGGTTTATTACGATTATGAACTAAAGCAAGGCGGTGTGTCAATGCGCGAAAATGCAAAAGTTTATAAAGCAATAAAATCGACATAACCTGTTGCTAAATGAACATCATCCACCCTCCAGTTCGTTCTTTTCACTAAAGTGATTATCAACTGTCTAGCGATCACTTTTCTTGACCATAAAATATTTTGAAAACCAATAATGGAGTAATTGATTCTGTTCTTCCATAGTTACTTTCTTACTGAAAATAATTGTTTGGTACTCTACAAATTCCAATCTAATAGAAACTTTACAAAAAGTTTTTAGTTGGTGATCGTGGATTAATTTAAGTGATGATGAATTATTTTGAATAACGATATTTCTGATTCTTTTGAATGGCTAGAAGCAATTGATTCAGCAGGATGGTTATTAGGACTTTTTGCATTATATATACAAAATATAAATTATCGAAAAATAGGAAACATTCATGTCTAGTTTACGTTAATTTATATAACATTGCAATTATTTATAAATTCAAATAAAAAAAAAGAATTGTCAAAATGTGAAACAAAAATTGAATTTTAGCCTAAATCCTTTTCTTGTGTAAAAGACAATATGATGGAATCATTTACTGGCTATTTTACTAAAAACGTAAATTTTAAAAAGTATCGAGTTCTTCTGTTACACTAAGACACAATAAATTTATGTCGCTAAAAAATATTGTAAAATCTAAAATTATATTAAAGAAAATTTTTATATAAATTTTTTAAACTGAAAAGAAATTGAAAGTTAGGATAAGACGAGGTAAACAAAGAAGTTATATTTTATATTTTTCAATAATTAAATCTTTAAACTTGAAAAAGAATTGTCTGTCATTGAATAATCAAGGATTTATGCTTCAAACATGATCGATAAAAACTCACATTACTAATATTTTTCTTAACTTACAATGTTTACGAAATAATGTGAAATATTTTGTTTTGTCCTCTAAATGGGTTTAAAACAATGTGTTCAGACGATATGGAATAGTTTATATTGAAGCTTTTTATAATTATCAACAATACAACTAACTACAATACAATAACAATACAACACAATATTCAGAATTTATGATAGACATATCTGTAATAATGAATCCATTTCTCTCGAAGACTGAAATCTCTTAAACCTCATCATTATCATGTTCTTTATCTACTCATGAACAGTGTCATTATCGATAACATATTACACTGCATATACTGCCTTACTAAAGGCGGTATATGCAGTGTAATATGAATTAGAATACATTATATATGCAGTGTAATATGCCTTAGAATACAAATATGTTTTGTTTTACTTTATAACAGAATTTTAAACATGAAAACGTAGTTCCGACTTGTTACACATAATTTTTGCCCATTTTTTCTAATATCGTTTGGAAATCTTGCTTAAAATGCATGGTAATCAATTGTATTAATGAAATCTTTACACAATCGCCTAAACGTAAAACATTTCTCTGTTGATAGAAATAATCTAAGAATTAAAATTAATACACTATTTGCATTCAATAGTTTTAAAAACTAAGAAATTAAATCAACACCCAACTGTCCAGCTGTGAAAGACATTAATGATGAGCACTGAAAAACAGCTGTTTTTATCGCCATGTGAATTTACCAGTGTGCAGGTTTAGTTGCAGTATTTATTACTAAGTTACAGCATTTAAGTCAGCGCAATGCAGTCTATATTCGCATTGTCTCTTTCTTCCGTCTTATCCCACCTTCCAGTATTATTCGGAATATTTTTCTGTACAAATTAATAAAAAATAATGAATTGCTGCCGAAATTTATTTTCCTTAATTTGAATACTCACATCCATAAGAAAAATATGTACTACTACATCTTCAGTGAAAAGATAAAGATAAAGTGAAATATTTAATTATCAGTGATGGCACAGGACTTGCAAACTACTTATGAATGCTTATTTATTGTAGTGTTGAAATCGGTTTTACTTTTCTTACGACTAATTCTTTAGCAAAACAAATCATAGACAATACATAACCTGTAATGAGAAGAAGAAAGCTCCCTAGGAGTTCGTTGCAGTTTAATGGTGCAATATCGTCCTTTTCATATATTGGAATTGTTAATTCTTTGCTTCTAAGGAATTCACTTATTCCACTTTCAAACATACGACGTACGCTACAAATAAATAAACAAGTAATTTAAAAATAAATTTACAAAAAAATATTTTTATCAACAAATTAAGTTGAATTAACCGTACATTTTACTAATCTGTTTCTTATACAGAAAATTTTTTCTGAGGGCAAAGGCCACAGAATACGTTGCAAGCACATCCTCACTTGTAACTATTTTTCCATCTAGTTCTTTTCTGATAAACTTGTCTATCAAACCAATATTTTCTATAAACGCGAAACGACCGCCTTTTATTTTTTCGATAGCATTATCTATAGTCAAGTAATTGTCTTTTTTATTAACATGATCACTCAACGTTTTCCAAATTCCAGTTTCATTTTCCTGTAAAAATTAATTTAAATATAACATTTGTAGCATGTATAAAAATAAATAACAAAAATTGTATGTAACGCGATCTGTTATGAAATTTCCATACAAAAATTTTATATATTTTTAAATTACCTTAATGTTACATACAAGCTACCATGCCAAATTTCGTACTTTCATTTTCAACCCGTACCGATATATAAAGGGAAATGGGCATATACATACACACACACACACACATATGTACTGTACATATTCACGGAATTTTTTTCAGTTTTTTGATTCAGGAAGTTTCAAAACATGAAGATTTGCAAAAAACTTGGAGAATAAAATTAACACGATGCCCATTTTTTCCTTCTTATATTTATATAAACAGCCGGAAAAGTAAAAAGAGATACACAACACTAACAAGAAAGAACTGCAGATGCTTTTTTAGAACGTTTTACCTTTAAAAACGTGTGTCTAAATTATCCACGAAAAGTAAACTGGAAAAAATAAGTTCGGCTTATTGCACAATTCTAAGTAGTTACAAAACTTTAACATTGAAAGACAGCATTGCCGAATGAAATTCAACGAACAGATTCAACGAACAGACGTTGGTAAACGCCAAACACCAAAATGGAACTTGTTAATTAGAGACGTCAGACGTCTCGTCTATATTGCAAGCACTAAATAATTGTCTTCATGTAAAATATATTTATTCAGAGATGTGTATCTATCACGGGCAGACCGTTTCTCGTGTGCTGGATGATAGTAAGATTGATAGTCCTACAATCTTTCTTCCTTAATAATCTCAAACGACATCAGGTAGCAGTTTTAAAACGGAAAAAAGTCTAATTATTTGTATTGTCACTTTCTTTTGTCCGTTCGTCCGAATGTTATTCCTCAATCCGGAAAACTTAGTGAGATAGGTGAACGCCGAAAATAGATATAGAAACATTAGGGGAAAAAACCCGATTACCTTTAAACAAACTTTCGTTGCAAAAAAGAAAGTCATATTATTTCAGTTCAAAATTTTCACCTAGAAGGAGTTACATAAATAACCAGCACGATTGTATTGCTAAAAGTAAGGTATGACGTAAAGGGGCTAGCCACTACTAATTTGAGTTGGAGAGCATATATCTTACATTAGATAAATTAATTAAAAATATGATTAAAAAATTGCAGCCCGGCATTGTGACAATTTCATAATAAATATTTATTTCATTTAGAATCTGAATTAATTAAACCGAATTCATCTATTAAATTTTAATTGAATTTAAAATAAAATCTCATAAAACCCGGAAAAGTTACGCAACTCGTTGCTTAATTTTAATACTATGAAATTAGCAATATGCAAATTCGCAAAGTCTATTCTTTTTCCTTTCAAATGTTTTGGAACTTGTCGAAGACTAGTTTAAAACACCATTTTCTAAGAATTTATTGCTAAGAAAAAAGTATTAAAGAAATGTGCCCAAAATTATTAGAAAATAGCACATTTCTACAATAAAAAGTTCAATTCCGTTATAAATTATCTTCAATTTAATAACATTCTCATGTTTAACATAAATTTTGCTGATAGTCTGATAATACTGAAGAAAAGTGGAAATCAGAAATATTTAAGTTTTGGAAAGTATCGTTTATACTACTTTAATCAATTATATTTCATCTGTTGTAATCCGAATACACATTAATCCGAAATTATCTTATTACCTTGAAAAGCAAGGTTTTCGCATGAATACTTATACCGCAGGAGAAGTCGCCACTTTCTACTGCAGAAGCTAATTCATGGTAATTTCTTGGAGTCCATTCGTAATTCGGAGCAGTTAGGAAAGACATCAGAATTCCACTGTAGCCATATCCCACAACAACTACTGTAATCAGCCAAACTCCGATTATAATCCTTGTTGAAATTCGAACAATACGATCTAAATTAATTCCTAAAAATTTCAAAATGAAAATGTAAGTTCCTGTTCTATAATTAATTTTATAGGTTACAAAAGTGGAAGAAAGTAAAATTTACCTTGTAGAGTGATATTTGAAAACAAAAGCCAAATGCTTTTCTTTACTGACCAATATTTCCTCGATCCATGTAAGGAATTTGCTCTCTTCATAATATGAGACAAAATAGTTCCAGTTAATACAATCGATATTAAGATTGACAACCATACCTGAAATATATTTTTAAAGTATATATATAAAATACCAAATCTGTAAGAATATATTCAAAATATCTTACCTAACTATATATTATTTAATAATTACAGTAATTAAATTCTAATATACTGTAGTCATCCATGGAAGCCATATTGTATAACTGTGTACTTTAACTAAGAAATTGTAATTACTTATTTGCTTTTATTAAGTATTTTATTTTTTTTAGCAGATTCAGGAGTAATTTTCATTGTACCAATATTTTTGTAAAAATTACAATAGAATCTTATCAACTTTAAACAGAATTAAGAATTATGTAAAACAGGATATTTCATGCTAATGATTTGCATTCAATTTTAAAGTGAATACCACTAAAACGATTTCTAAAAATTCGTATTATTCCTGTAAATTCCGAAAAATTTACATTATGCTATTTTAAATTTATTGACAATTATCAATTTTTAATTTTTTCCTATTTACTTTAACTGAAAATTTACAAAAATGCAAATTATAATTTCGATATTGTTACTCAATATTTTTATAATAACGAACATAAAGAATTATTAAAAGAAAAGGAATTTTTTCAAATATGTAAATACATTATAGGAACATGTTTATCACAAAACAGTTGTTTTTCTGATGAATTATCAAGAGAAAATATTAGAGAAAACGATTACAATGATAACAAATTAATTTGGAAAAAATTTCGTTGTAAAATTAAAAAAAAAAATTAACTTTGCAATATTATAAATGTTACCAAAATTTGCCTTAAAATGAAATCTATGCGGAGGAGAAAGGATAATTTTGGTTTTAACAACTATTTAAAAACTCATAAGCTACAATGTATCCAAGCGAACGAAAATAAATTATGAATATTCTAAAAATTACAGATTATTTGATATCATCATTATTACCACAATATGAAAATCTAATATTAGGCAAAATGAAAAACCTTCAAAGGCTCATTTAATACTCAGTATTGTAGTAAAATGTATTCGTGAATATAACTGGCTTGCAATAAAGCAGCATAATTGATATTACCACTGAACAAAACATATGAATGTAATTTTAATGTAAAAAAGTCTTCCAAATCGGTGGCAGAATAAAATCCTTTTGTAATGATAAACGTAATTAAATCAACGAAGGAAAATTAATATTCACAGATTATCAACTGAAATGCCTAATAAGTGTTACAGTCATATCTAAGTTACATACATAAGTATGAAAATAGTTTTGAAACATCAATAAGTAAATACTCAAATTTTACGTGATTTACAAGACTTTCTGACATGAAAAACAATATCGAAATACCAAAAACTAGACAAAAAACATACACAATTCTCAAAACCAAATACTTTGGTGTGATATTCTCTATTTTCAGATATTTTAAAATTTGTGAAATTAGACAAGTGACATATTCTTGATAATTCACAAAATGTATTCTTGAAGACAATTATAGCAAACTAAATAAATTTCACTGAAGAATTAATACACCAAAATTTCTTAATGCACGAATTATGTAAAATTATTGACATATTTTAATAAATAAGATATAGCCCAAAGTGTTTCGAACCTACACTATATAAACTGAATTTCCAAAACTTTGAAATATTCTGAATGAAGATGTAGAAAAAAATTGATAAATCACCTCGTTATAAAATCGTATTATCATTTACCTCGAATGTAAATGGTCTAAAAATAGTCTTCCAAGTCGGCTTCAATTTCTGTTCTTTAATTATAAAATGTATCGGTATCATGTGAGTAATCGAAGAATAATCAGCCAAGTCAAAGACATTCTTACTCATATACACAGGAAAAGGGGACATGTCTGCTTCCTGTCAGAAAAATAAACACAATAAGAAAATTCATGGAACGTCAATATTTGTAAGTATAAATAAATAGTTAACTACAAATACCTTATTAATTATCTGTCCCATCATTCCATAATAACTTCCATTTGGATGCTGTTGTAAAGCAACTTTTGGCATGGGTTGAATGACTTCATACCTACAAAAATTTCGATTTTTCATAATTTTATTAAATCTATAATCTGTTGTACAGTCTCATTTTTATAAGAATACTAGCTGCAAGAACCCGCTTTGCTGGGCAAAACGTAACGATAGTGAGGATTAAGATAATTACATTATAGCCAATTTTACCCGTTTTCACAGAATGCAAGAATTAGGTCCCCCGATTCTAGACTAATTAGAGAATTTTTAATGAGTCTAAAAATATGTTCGATTTCCCGCAAAAACGCAAAACACCGCCTGTAAATCTTGCATGCCGCTTTATATTAATAGTTCCTTTGTTACTGAACACTTCCATTGTTAACACTTCCACTGTTAACACTTCTATTGTTGACATTTCCATTGTTACACATCTTCAAAGTCAACCACTTTCAACCTCATATCTGCCACACCCTTATAGAACAAAATGCAAGAATTAGGTCCACCGTTTCCAGACTAATTAGAAAATTTTACGTCCAGTCAAACGAACTATTTTCAATTTGATCAATTTTCTGGAACGTTTAAAATCGATCTATAATCGAACCAATTCGAATTCGAATACAAATTGGAATTTAAAACGGTTCGAACATTTTAAAAATCGAAATAGAAAATCTTCGAAGTCAACCACTTTAAGCCCCCATATCTCCCGCACCCTTATAGCTATCGAGACGCAACCACCATAGTGCACGAATGGAGACTTGAGGCTACTACCACATACAAACACCATTCATGTGCGATGTGTAGTTTTGGCTAAAAAGTGAAATATAGGGACACACACATCCATTTTTATATATAGAATATAGATATAGATATAGATAAAATGGCATTGATATTGAATATAGGACCTGGTCCCGATTCTATTTCTGAACGTCTCCTGTTCACGTCCAGTCAAACAAACTATTTTCAATGTTTCTGGAACGTTTACAATCGTTCTATAATCGAACCAATATTGGAATTTTATGTTCGAATTCAAATTCGAATATTGTTCGAATTAAATTCGAACAAATTCGAACATAACATTCGAAATAGAAAACCACTTTCAACCACTTTCAGCCCCATATCTCTCGCACCCTTATAGATATCGAGACGCAACCCCCATAGTGCACGAATGAAGACTTGGGGCTACCACCACATACAGACAGCACTCATGTGCGATGTGTAGTTTTTGCAGAAAAGTGAAATATAAGGACACACAGGTCCATTTTTATATATATATACTAGCTGCAAGGACCCGCTTCGCTGGGTTTTTATTTGTATGTATTATAGTTTTTTTATACAGTATATACGTGTACAAAAGATTGTTTTTCTAAGTAATCTAGAATCTAGCTGCAAGGACCCGCTTCGCTGGGCAAAAAGTAACGATAGTGAAGATTAAGATAATTACATTATAGCTAATCCTACCCGTTTTCACAGAATGCAAGAATTAGGTCCCCCGTTTCCAGACTAATTAGAGAATTTTTACGTTTAGTCAAACGAACTATTTTCAACGTTTCTGGAACGTTTACAATCGTTCTATAATCGAACCAATATTCGAATTTTATGTTCGAATTTAATTCGAACAAATTCGAACAAAACATTCGAAATAGAAAGCCACTTTCAACCACTTTCAAGCCCATATCTCTCGCACCCTTATAGATATCGAGACGCAACCCCCATAGTGCACGAATGAAAACTTGGGGCTACCACCACATACAGACAGCATTCATGTGCGATGTGTAGTTTTGGCGGAAAAGTGAAATATAGGGACACACACGTCCATTTTTATATATAGATATAGATATAGATAAAATATTTATTAATTTTACCTAAATTTTAATTTTTCCTGAAGAGTTTCAAATATATAAAACTGAAGTGCCTCAATTATTTGATTGTTGGATTGATTCACGATCATCCACATAGGCTCCTAAAAAATCGAGTAATAAATAAAACTTCAAGTGAATAGTATATTTCTACAAAACTTTTAAAAATAAATAAATTTACATCGATTCCTGCAATTTTCCACACGTAATTCGATTCCATTTCTTTTCTGAAATTAAAAGAAAAGTGTGATAAAAATGCAAATGTTGTAATTTACAATAAAAACAATATACAGTACTTTACATGAAATGAATAATGTAAAATTTCATTTTGTATGTCAAAGAATAAAATAATACCTTACGAATATTATGATAAAAATTAAAAAATATTCACTTTTTTGAAAGATAACGTCTGTTTTTAGTTTTATCTCTTCCAGCATTTTTTAAGAATTTCTTTCTATTGATGAAACCACCTATCTACTAGATCATTGATTCACAGTCTGGTCGGTATTGATAAGTAAATGAGCAGTCAGTTGATTTGAGAATCGGAAAATTATTAGTAATTTTTGGCTTTGCTATACAGTAGTATAACAATAATTGATATATCTTTATATTTTTATTAAAGTAAAACACAGAACTTTAAATTTTGATGTAAGTCTAGTTAAAAAGATTATAAAAAGTCCTGTTTGATTTTATTTTACCTTATTTGCATTTATTATTATTATGTATTAGTAGAAAAGCATTAAAAGGAAAATTTAATTTAATTTATTTAACAATGTCAGTGAGTCACAGTGGGTCTCAGCGACATAACTGGGCATTCACTACTTGAGAGTGATTTGAGGAGACATAAATTCTGTACAATAAATTTCTGCTTGACTGTTTTGCAGACCCGAAATGATGCATTATATAACCAGTACAATGTACAGTACACTTGGGAACAGTCAACTGATGCTTCACTGCACAATATCCTACGGGCGTGACACATGAATAACAATGTATACTGCCAATTAATTTAATGTAAAACCAATTACATTATAGCTAAATAATAAATTTGTTGAACTCAGTAATTTTACTTAAATGTGAATTTCTAATTTGTAATCTTGGCGAATAGTAATACTATTAATACAGGGTGGGCCAACGAAAACGAAACGGCAGAGTTATCGTGTTCGTCCAAGCAAATCGCTCGGACAGGTCGATTTTATTCTCAAGGGGGATATCTTCTGCAATAAAGTTTTTGCGATTCTGAATACAACAGACAACAAAAAATGTTAAAAACTTATTCATTTTTTATTAGCTAAACAAACATTTATTTCGGAAAAAAAAATGAATGAGTTTTTAAAATGTTTTGTTGTCTGTTGTATTCAGAATCGCAAAAACTTTATTGCAGAAGATGTCCCCCTTGAGAATAAAATCGACCTGTCCGAGCGATTTGCTTGGACGAACACGATAACTCTGCCGTTTCGTTTTCGTTGGCCCACCCTGTATATTACAGTGTAAATATAGTAATGTATTAAGATATTTTAAAATATAATAACTGTTATTTTTTCGACTGTTTTGCCATATAATTTTCCATATTTCATTGGAAGATAACATTGTATATCTTCATCTTGTCAACTTTTACTTTCTTGGCTGTTATATGTAACAGAGTAAGTATATAAGTTCAGTAAGTTGGCGCCATAATTGCTATTTTTCTAAGTAATAAGTATTATTCGTTTGCCCCGTTTGCCCACCTAAAAGTAGTATTTTCAGGAATAATTTCTAATGTTTCATTTTAAATTATTTTTTCGATACGATCGTGCAGTTCGCAGAACAGAATACAAGGTTAATGTCAAAAGTACACATCTTTGAAAATATTAGAGGGAACTATGATATTTGAAACTTGCTGAAAGAAAACTGTTTACGTAAACATTTTTTTTAACATATTGGCATAGGTCATTTTTAGGTGTTTGGATTTAATTTTGAAAGATCATTCCAAAAATAGAGTATTCTGTTTTAACTTTTACATTTGAACTATTCTACCGGTACATACAAATTTTAACTTGCACAAATTAAATAAATAAATTGTGAAAATATATGATAATAAAATAAAAATTAAGAAAGTTTAAATTCGAATTGAAATGAAATGACGTGACTTCCGATTTGCATTGGTAGTGCGTATTTGATTTTTTTAAATTATATATATATGTTACAGTCAAAACCCGTTTTTAGTTAGAACGCGTTTTAACTAGTTGAAACTACTTTATACTGAATGTCTTTGTTAAAACCCGTTTTGTCTAGTTAAAACTAGTTTTAACTCAAATTCATTTTTGACTAGCAGTAAACTCTAGTTTTAACT